GTTACTTTTTTCAAAGAGAAAGTATCAAATATATAAATCCAGGAAGAATTAGCTGGCTTAAAATTCCAATACAAATCTTCGAATTTCCGGCCATCTTTCTCTGACTACCCATGATGTAACTATGAGCGTGAACTCCTCTGCAGGCTCCGCCGTTCACAAAGTTTCAAGGGATATTGCGAAAAGAAAAGAACGTTTTCTGTCATCCCTTAAGGAGGGTGTGAGTGGGGTTAACTGACTAGCGACAAAGGGCAAAAAATATTACCGACTACCGACAAAACGCGAAAAAAATTACCGACTACCGACAGGAAAATTATTAACCGACTACCGACATGGACCGACATTATCGATCTTTTTTTCAGAAAGAAGAGTATATTGTATTTTTTCTACCTTTCTAGGAAGTAACCAAAGATACCACGTCACAAGTCTTTTTGCAAGTCAGTACCACAAAACGAGGATATTGAAATCGGTTTGCAGAGCGTATGCCAAAAATTTCTACAACCCGCCTAGCCCTAAACATTATATGCGACAAATGCTTCGATTAATCCTCAAAGAAAATTCTTTCCAGTTCAATGGAAAGCTCTACCTCCAAACCCACCGTACCGCGATGGGCACAAAGACAGCAGTTTCCTCTGCCAACATTTTCATGTCATATATTGAAACACAAAGTCTGAGCAGCTAAACCGTCTTTAAACCAGACATCGTAACTTTCTTCGAAGAAGCAAACTTACATGATCCTACTATTAAATTCACCACCGAAATTCACTGAGACAATGTTTTCAGACACAGTTGTATACAAAGGCACAAGATTAAACGAAAAAGTTATCCTTGATGTAATATAAAGACTACGGAAACCTTGCAGCACACATTTTGCGGATTGTCACCCACCGATTTGTCAAAAGAGTTTGAGGAAAGTGTTTCAAAATTCAAAAGAACGCTTGATGGTTTTTATGGACAGAGGCTACCAACACAATTTGAAAGACAAATTGCAATCAGAAATAAATGAAACTCACAGAAACCGAAGTCCGGGCTCCTGAAACAAAACCGAGCAAGGAAGGAAAAGAAATGTTGCCTTTCGTGACACAATAGGGAACTTAAGAACCACGACGACGGTTCACGACGACCACGTCTTTTGTCTGGGAAAAGACTGGAACGGGAACGTCAGTTTCGGCAGGAAAAAGGAAACTTAAGATACAATCGGTCGGTAGGTGGACGACGACGACGCTGAATGTAAACACAAATGAAAACTGTGATGTTCTTTCGCAACAAAGTTTTTCGCAATGGCGTCTTTTAAAACAATGCAAGATGTAATTTTTAAGCCGTACCTCTAATTTCATTGACGATGGAGAATTTTTTGTGTTGTCTAACCTTTTCGAGGCGAAAAACACCTGCTTTTCGCAAGTAGATTATTCAACTTTCAACCTGAATGAGATGACCGAGTCCGAGTGTCTGTCAGAGTTTAGATTTGGAAAACGAGACATTCTGATGTGATAGCTGTTTTCCATATAAAGTTTATTTCCTCTATACTAAAGATATATGATTTGCCTTGCCTAAATACGTACAAATAAATTTCTCACTTACGAGTTCGCTTGTTCGGCCTCCACAGCTGTTGTCATTCTTCGAAGTAAAAACAATCCATTATAGTACACTTTTAGTCTTCATAGCCAATAACATCACGGCTTAACTGACACTTGCCTTAAAAACAGCCCAAGTTTTGCCTCTTACCTGCCACAATCAGATAAACTGACGTAATACAACTCACTTTGACTCTGAAGATGACTACCGCACAGGTTGTCGAAACGTCAGTCACGTTCACCCGGACGATCAAACTCAACCTACTTTTGAAATGACTCCTGAGTTCAAACCTTTCACAGTACACTTTTAGTCGCGAATTTTGAATCAACATCGCTTGTTAGGAGAAAAAAGGAACGATACCTGGATTTACGAGGATAAGAAAAAACAAAGGACTTCAAAAAAGTGGATTTATGCACCGATCAATGTAAAGCCGGCGGGAGGCGGGGGGGGGGGGGTATGGGGTGGGGATTTATTTGATTGTCTTTGTTGGCCCTGGGGTAGGGCATTTGACTGATCTTGTTCTCCCAGGGGAGGGGATATTTGAATCTTTCTTCGCCCGACGTGGAGATATTTGACTGCCGACTTGGGCGAAAAAGACTGAGACAGAACATCTGTTTCCCACTTCCACGCTTCACGCATGCGCCGTACGGTTTGAAAAGATCAGGAAGTCAAGATGGTGCCCAATGAGAACAAGCGAAGGCTGAGTGGATTTCACTGTTTTGTCTTCAAATTTCGTTTGTTTTAGCGTGTTTTTGATCAATTGAACCTCTTAAAATACTGTGGTGTCAAAGTAAACGAAAGCAAAGAGAAACCAAGTCGATTTTTGGAAGTACAATTGATCAGTGTATGGCTCATTCGCTACAATCAGTGTAAACTTACGAAACTGACTTTTTTTGTACCCTTTACTAAGAACGGTATATTTAAACTTACAAAATGTGGACTTTCTCCTGAAGGTTTATGTATTCTACGCAGTGTAACACGGATTATGGTTAAAACGTATAATTGCAGCTGTAACAGGAACATGTATCTTTGGTGATGCAGCAACGTTTATAAAAGATTGCAGAGTTTTATTTGGAGATATTCTTATTGTGCCTTTCTTGGGTTCTGTCTGCCTTGGGATTGACAGCAATGTTCAGCCTAGGGTGGGGAAATTTGGTTGCATTTGACTAGAATGATTTGCGCGTGGGCAGGGAATTTGATTGCAAATTTTTAAAAAAGTCAAATCGCCACCCTACGTTCTGCCTCCCTCCCCGCTGGCATTACATTGATAGGTGCATTATACCTGCCGAAGCTTGTGGATTGCAGGACGACGTGATTGTACTTTGTTTGGCGTCGTCGACGACACCACGGTGACGAAATTTACTGGTCACGCTTGCGCAGTACACTGCAACTCACTTCTGGTCGTCGTCGACAAAGTCGTCGTCGTGGTTCTTAAGTTCCCTAATACCAGCCCTTAGTGTCTACTGTAAAATAAGCTTTAATGGAAAAGTGAAATCTCATACAAAACCCACCTCTACTTTGCTAATTTTTTAAAGAACCACCCCTTATTTCCTAAAAGAAAGGAAAACCATGGCAAAGAACATGCATGTTAGAGGCAAAATATTAAAGATCAACACACGGTTTCACGCCGGTATAGATGTGCAACCTGTCACCCCTTGCAGTTTTTCACAAAAAATAATTTACGTATCCAAAAGGTTAGAGTGGGCGTTTCCCTCTGTGTCCAATTAACCTCTCTTCATTACTTTTTATGGTGCCCTGTAATCAACAGGGAAACCAAGTTCGCATTTGCAATAAAAGCTTTGGTGAAATACCCTATCATGTTGCATAATGAAGTTTAAGTTCAATCAAATGATGCATTTTTACAAGTTTTACATGTTTTATAGGTATCAAAGTCTTGAAAAAAATACAATTCCTTCATTAGAGAACAAAAACAATCCTATATATAATAAGTGAAGAAAGAGAAAACTATTCATTTACAAATTCTAAAAAATAGAAGTAACTTAACCTTACATAAAAGAAGAGGAAATAGATATAATCAATAATAAAAGTTCAAAATTCTATAAAATTAAGAATTCCATTATGCAGGAGATATCAAGATCATACAATCGAATTATACTAATGACGGCTAAACCAGTGTCCATAAAAAGCCCTAAGTATAAAAGCAGATAGACACGTATTTCAGATATCCGCACTAGCGACATTTATTTTACAGTCTAATGATTGCTCTATCTTGCTACGAAACGGCGTTCGCGAACCTCTGACGCATGCATGTACCGATCTTATAAGAGTTCAAACGAGATCTGTGTCCTGAGCCAAGTGATTACAACATGATATAAGGCTCGGTGTCTTTCTGAGCTATCTTGTCTGCGAGATGCTTTAAGAACCGCTGACACTCGTTTCCCATTCCGCCACTGGTTCCAAACACTAAAGGCGTAAACGAACCCATTTCTACATCTAACACCCGCTGCTGGTACTTGCGCTTCTTCTCTTCTTCTTGCCCTTTGAACACTTCCGATGTTGGCTTGCTCTGGTAACATTTGGAGTTGACGTGCGTAACTCTAACATCAAAAAATGCCGTAACTCCTCTTGCCCAGAAACCTCCCGCTTTGATGTCCAATCCTGCCTCAGAACTTGTAACAGCGCTCCTCAAATGAAATCGCTCGTTGTCCAGGGATTGGAGGCGTGGTTCGATTTCAACATTATTGCAGATCTTGTCGATGAATGTCGTTAACAAGTTCCGTACACCGTCATGTCTCTGCGCTACAAACCCCCCCTTTTCACAAGAGAGGGTGTGACTAACGGTGAATTTATCCCCACATATGCAATGGCTTGGTAAATCGACTAAGAGCAAGTCATAACGCAAGCGTAGCGAGTCTCTGAATTCTTGCTTGTTGAGGGCTAAACCTTTGTCTGCGAGAGGCATCGCATTCAGCCAAGAACTTGCGCCCTTGTCCCTCGATTGATTAACCAGACACAGCAGGCCTGGGGAGAGGCTTGAATCAATGCTATCCATTTTCACTTTGGCACTTGCTCTCTTAAGTGATTGTTGATGCCTCTTTAGCTCCTCCGTAGATCTTTCTCCTGACACCATGATGGAACTCTGTGAAGTAACAGAATCTACGTGCGCGGTGGTTATTAGTCTCGAGGCAGCAAACTGCTGCGGTGCCTCGGATTTCAGATCAGGAATGCCGAGACCCCCTTGACCTGTTGCTAGGGTAGCAAGTCTGCGCACCTCGTTAGGGAGAGGCTCTGATTGACCGAACGAAATTGGGAGTAGTAAATCTTCAATCACTTCCTGGATTGGATCGACATAAACTTCAAACGATTAAATCGCGCGCATGAAGTAGGTGAACTTCGACTTGTAGCCTTTTGTGAAAGCAATATATATACGCCGCATGGGGCTGGCTCTTCGCTATTTCAGAGAGACGTTCGATTTCCTCTTTCCATGCACGAACCTTCTCCTCACAATACTGATCTTTGTATTCTTGCGACGCAATAACTGCTCCCAGATGGCGCTGACCTTCAGTCGTTATGTTGACTTCCTCTCCAAACACCCTCTTTGCTTTCTCCGCGAGTTCCCTAGACTTCACAATAAGCCAGCTCTTTGTCCCATTCACAAGGTAACCAAACTTTTGACCTTCCTTACTCAACTGCCTGTACCAGTTGTATAACTGCACTATACTCCCTCCTCCAGCTGAGTCGTCTGCAAGCCACACCTGTTTAACCAATGGGCAATGATCCCTCAAATTATGTATCATTATGGATGTATTAAGCGCGTACAACGGCATCGCTAGCGGATATCCTTGTGTGGTGCCTTCTCGAGAAAGTATTTCACCTCCCCCACAAATAAACAGTCTAGATGGGCTTCTATATGTGTTAATGACATAGAGCGCCATTTCTTTGCACATGATCTGGATATTGTGTAAGGCCGCTGACCTATTCATTTGGTTAAAAGCGTTACTAGCATCAATTAGCAATATTCAATCTGTTCCTTCTTCATCAAACACTTGACTCATTGCATGGATCGCAGCCTCCGCTCCCGCGTTATGACCAGCGCAGACTTGTAGGGGACCCGCCGCTTCTTTTATTTCCTCCTTTAAGAAACCGCTAACCGTTTTCCCCACTATTCTCCTTAGTACCTCTCCAACACCAATTGGTCTGATTCCCGGGTTCTTGTCAAGCGGGATAAGCCTGCAGGACGTAAAGGCTTCAAGTAAGGATGGGTGGTACTATTTCCTTAGCAGATTTCTTGTGAACACGGCTAGCTCTTCTCTCAATATTTTGCCCTCGGTCTTGAAATTCTTAGAGGACAGGATTCTCTTGTACAGCTCTGCGTCCATTCCAGATGGTCCTCCGGCTGAGCCCTTGGTTTTGCTTGCCGAGTTGTAGATCGATTCTTCGTCTATGAGGTCATAAACATTTGGCGGAATATAATCAATTGGGCCATGTAACAAACTCTCCTCTGCGATATCAGCTGCCTGTGGGTGCTTGTCCTGTAGCCCTTGCAGGACATCTGGCGATAGGTCGAGCAGACCGGACGAGCTCTCGTTATCTAGGAGTTTCATTGCAGCTGTCAATTTTCCTTGCAGAACCAGCTTTGAGAAGGCTTTGGATATGTCTTCAACCTTTCTAGGTTTCTTGGAATTCACAAATTTCCCTTCTTTAAGCAGCAAATCAATGTCCCCTTGTTTCCAGAGTGCTAATCGACGCTCTATTGCTTCACTATGCTCCTTGCTTTTGGAAGTAGCGGATGGTTTTTGCAAAATCAAAGTTGGGAGCACCATGAATGCTTTAAGCGCGATCGAGTTCAGGTCAGAGTCTGAATTAAATTGCTTAATCCAGAACGTTAATTCTTCAATGAAACTCTTCCCTGCGCGACCCGATGGAACATTGAATATATTCCTCCTGTAGTGGACGATTTCATCGTAAACATCGTTGACAGTATTACAGATACATGCGTAACTAATACTGCCCCAAGTTTTGTTCTTTGTTTTGGAGGGAAGCACATCATAATCCGGCAGATTTGGCTTGATTTGATTTTTGGTGTTTTGATCCTTGCAAGTAGCAGTCCCTCCCTGGGGAGCTCTTTGATCAGCAATGTCGGAAGAAATATGCAAATTCGAACCTTCGACCACATTCACGTTTGATAAATTTTCACCTTCGCATTGGGCGGGTTCGAGACCCTCGGTTTGTGACAAAATAGAGGCACCAACCTCTTCTGTTTCGTCTAGAACAGTTGAAGAGTCGCCTCTAACCATATTATTATTATTATTATTATTATTATTATTATTATTACTACGTTCTGTATTTGAGGTTTCCAAGATAAGTGTTCATGAAGTATAACTCCCGAGAACAGCAGAACAGAACTTCATTTACACGATCAATTTCAATATCATCAATTGAAAACTGTAACTCGAGTTTTTGCCTGTTTGTTTTGTTTTAAATAGAAAAATATTTGAATTTTGTTAAGTTAATAGAAAGCTTATTAGCCTGAAACCAGCTTGATAGTTTCTTCAATTCGTTATTCACAATTTCCATCAGTTGATTTCGGCCGTTATGAGAAAAAAAATATGTTGGTATCATCGGCAAAAAGTATGAAATCCAAGGCCTTTCACACATCACACGAGTCATTAATGTATAACAAAAACAACTATGGACCTAAAATCGACCCTTGAGGCACTCCATATCTGATGTATTTAGAAGAAGAATTAAAGCCATTGTACTGTACAAATTGAGTTCTACAAGAAAGATAACTTTTGAACCATTGTAATGCAACACCACGAACCTCATAAAACTCTAGTTTAGCAAGTAGGATATCATGGTTTACAGTGTCGAAGGCCTTGGATAGGTCAATAAATAGACCCAAAGTAACTTTTCCTTGATCAATCGCATCTGAAAGTTTATCATATAATTGAATTAAGGCATACATGCAGTAGAGTGATTTTTCCTAAAATCATATTGATTATTATAAAGGATGTTAAATTTATTCAAGAAATTGATCAAACGATTATAAACAACCCTTTCTAGAATCTCAGAAAAAGCCGGCAAAACGGAAACTGGTCTATAACTGGTAAACAGAGAGAGATCACCTGTTTTAAATAAAGGAACAACTCGGGCTATCTCCATTTGATCGGGAACGGTACCAGAACTTAAAGATAAATTCGTTATGTACGTTAATGGCTGAACGATTAAATCTATCATTTCTTTAATTACGTTCATCGTAATTTGGTCATAGCATGCAGCAGTTCCTGTACGAAAACTAGTACAAATTTCAATAAAATTTTCTGCTCAGTAGTTGGTTGTTGGTATAACGAATTCACAAAAGCTCCAGAAAAAAAAGAAAGGGGAGAAGTGAGACAAGGTGGAATCGAGTTCGCTAAATTTGGTCCTATATACTTGAAGTACTGTAGCCTGGCACAAAAATGGGAGGGGAGTGGGAGGGAGAAAAGCACGGAAGCAGGGAAAAGGGAATTAAAAGAGAAATCTTCCCCAACCCCCCTGCTTTTTTCCCTTCTTCCCTATCCCCTACCCCTTTCTACGCCTGCTACGCAGGCTGGAAGTACTGCACAGGAATGGTCCACGATCTGAGTTGGATCGGATATTTCCGTGTCATCAACATTAAACGTCGTTTGTAAATTATTCTTGCTTTTTTTGTTATTAATTACTTTATTAACTATACTCCAAGTTGATTTCATATTGATTTAAATTCTTCTAATTTCTTCGCATAATGATCTACGTTTAGCGGCACGTAAAGAACAAGCTAATTTTAATTATTTCTATATTTTTTGTATTGATTTTCGCGGTCAGAAAAGGGATTACAGAGATAGCGCTTGTATAAAACATTTTTCCTTTTTATGGATATGAGAAGACCCTTGAGCAACTAAGGCTTGTTCAATTAAGCATTTCTTGCCTTTAACGTTTTCAGAGCTGGGAAGCACTTATTATAAGAAGCAATATATTTGCTCAAAAAAGTTTCATAAGCGGAATTTGGGTCACTGTGTCCAGTCACGTCGTTTGAAGCTCGGCTTTGAATGCAGCCATATTATTTGCATTTTTATCACGGAAGGTGACATAAATATTTTTACTTGTATTCTTACAATGATCAGATAATATTGTGAAAATAAAAGTAGGTTGACTTTGATCGTCCGGGTAAACGTAGTCCTGAATAGGACTGTTGTTGTTGACAGTGACTGACGTTTCGACAACCTGTGCGGTAGTCATCTTCAGAGTCAAAGGCCTTGACTCTATCAAGCTACTGGGTGTGAACTTCGACGAGAATCTAATTTTTAGCCAACATATTAGCGAATTGTGCAAAAAGGCCAGTCAAAGGGTGGGCGTTCTCGTCAGGTTAAGAAACTTAATTACTACCGAGACTAAGCTATTACTTTATAAAACTGCTATCATGCGATACTCACCTATTGTCATCTCACATGGCATTTCTGTAAGGCGTCGAATACAAGAAAGGTTGAAAGAATTCAAGAGCAGGCACTATAAGGAGAGTTTATAACTCACATTCAGAAACGTATATGAACTTATTAGATCGTGCTAAACTACCAAGCCTTCTTAATAGGAGATTACAAGACATAGTTATACTCATGTACAAGGTTAAATACAGGCTAGTTCCTGATTTCGTTTGTGACATTTTCAGTACTAAGTTTTGTAAATATAATTTTAGAAACCAAAATTTTGATATTCCTAGATTTAATTTTGTATTGTATGGTAAACACTCTCTTAGATATTTTGGACTCTTTTTATGGAACAAGCTAGATAAAAACACCACTGAAACGAGCAGCTTATCTAGGTTTAAGTTTCATTTTAGATGTAAGGATCTTACTGAACTGATAAATGGCAACAATTGCTCCGCGTGCGTAATTTGTACCTCTTAAGTTGTGCCCGTGTTCCTACAATTGTTTAGGTTATTTTAGCATATAAATGTATATATAATATATATAGGATTATACTATAGCTTTTTTTAATAGCTTTTTATTTCTTATGTCTTATTTATCATATTATTCATTATTTATTTTATCTTTATGTTGTCCCCATGCAATTACCGTCAGCTAAATACATCGACACATGAATAAAGTTCATCATCATCATCATCATCATCATCATCATCATCCTATTCAGGACTACGTTCACCCGGACGATCAAACTCAACCTACTTTTGAAATTACTCCTGGGTTCAAAACTTTCACAGTTTTATTGTGAAAATAGGAAGATGGTCAGAAATGCAAGTAAACAGCAAACCACTAGCAGAGCAATCAGTGCTTGGGTCGTTTGTAAAGAAATTATCAATTAGCGTAGCTGAATTTGAGGTTATTCTTGTTGGCCGTGAAATCAATGGGAAAAACGATCCGGACAACATTATGTCTAAAAATTCACCTTTAGGCCATTTGCACTAATTGAGCTCATGTGACGTCGTTTTTATGAAAATGAAAGTTATATGATTTTTTTCTTCAAAAAACGAGTAGTGGGTCATATCTTCAACAAAATAATAGTGATTTGGTTTTTCAAACCCGCACCATTTTCTTAAAATGAGTAAGTTTGTAGCTGGTCACGTGACCAAAATGTGATGTTTAAAATTATGTTTCCTCTTTCTGAACACAACTCTTCACCTAAACTTCAAGGAAAATGTTGAAAAGTTGATGTGGGAACGTTTACAGCACATCTGAGCGTAACTATCAAACGTTTAACAGGATCTAAGCAAAAAGTAGCCGAACATGGCGGCCAATACAATTTCAAATGATGCTGCTTTGTTGAAAAATCAAAGTGCCATAAGATATCTCCCTTAAATGCGTTTCCTCTCAAATTTCAGGTGTAAGATAATTCTTATGTGCTCTGTCAATTTTTGCATCGGCAAGATTCCAACTCATTGTTAAAAGGAAGCATTGGTCACGTGACCTCTTAGTGCAAGTGGCCTACTGTGCTATTTACTGCTACTGATTTAATAAAAAGCAATAATAATATAATTTATTTTGTAACCATGGTTGGCAATGTACCATGGTCGAGAGCTAATAACACACCATGGTCACTCACCATGGTCACACACCACGGTCATACAATCACCGACCATGGTCAAACATGCTCGGCAATCAAAAACTATGGGACCATGATCAAACTGTTGCAGGAACTGTTGCTTCTATTCGATATACCGAGGACTGTTCCTTATAGCTAGGTTCCACTGTATCTGATTGCTAGCGTGGGTAAATAAACATTTTAAGTAGGAGGCTTTAAAAGTGCTCGAGACTTTAGAAATGATATTCCGTTTATTTGCATTCACTTGCTCATGTTCTCAGATGTTTACCATGGAGCAGTTTTAAGCGCAGGGCTCCGCCATATAATAATGTCTGATAACCTTTCTAAATAAGTTTTTGGATACTGCTCCTTTATTAACTGCTGTTTTTGTTGTTACTTGCTTGTCCATGTTCTCAGATGTTTACCATGCATAAGACTTTAGAGTGGCTCTGAGGCCAGAGTCGCGCCAGATATAAAGAATTGGATTTATACTCGAGTTCAGCATCAATAAAGTTGTGGACAATAAATAAATACTAGGGTAGAGGCTTCCAAATGATTGAGAAAGGATGAGAGACGCATATTTTGGAATCACGCAAATTGCAAAAACAACGAAAACAATAAACATATTCATGGCAACTTTTTTCTCGCGTCGCAGTATTACTTGCAATTGCAGGGATGAAACCATGTCTTGCACCTTACGGTTGTGGTAACGAACAGCCACAAACATTATTATATAATTGGCAATTGGGAAAATGACGAAAACAATACAAATTATGACTGAAATAATTGTAGCATGAATTAATGGTAGGATGTTTAAGAGTACGACTAAAGCAATCGCAGTCAATGCGGTGATCACAGAAATCTTTACAGCATCTGCGAAAAGAATGGAAAAAGTTTTAACAAAATTAAAGTCTAAGTCCATCTATGGATTCATAGTGGAATATTTAACATTAAAATATAATTTATTTATTTTAAACAATATTTATTCAGGGAATGCCCAGTTCAGCGAGGGTGGTTTGAATGTAGCCTGCGTGCAGACGATAACTAAACTCTGATTAGTACCGTCTGCGAAAAGCGAAAACCCCAACCGACTCAACGAATTACCGGAAGAATTTCCCTTCAAAAAACCAATTTTTAACAAAACAAAGGTCTTTTTTAACTGGCCAATCGTGGTGCGTACTCAAATCTGGGTACACAGCTGGAAGTCCAGAACAAGGATTTCGGCGCTGTTTCGCAGACGGAACCAGAGTTTAATTTCGTCTGCGCGCAGGCTAGTTTGAATGGGGCCCTGATGAAAAAAAAAAACCAACACATAAGACAAAAAAAGATTTAAAAAAAAAATGGTACAACTAAGTATAATAAAACTCCCGGTAAGGGAGGCTCAGTTAGGCTTGGATCTAAAGTGCCTTTTTATACCAAACGCAAACTTTTTAATATCATGCTCAGAGGAAGCGTACCGTGTTCCAGATCTTGGCTCCGCTGAACCTGAAGGAACCCTCGTACTTATTAGTTGTCCTATATAGCTAGCGGCAGACGGAGCAAATCTCTATCGCGCGTGTTATATGAATGGAAATCGCGCGAGTGGCTAAATTCAGTGCTGAAGCCAGGCCATGAAAAAGCATATAAAACACAGAAATTCGATCCAAGAGTGTAAATGGAGTAATAGACGGGAAAAAAAGCTATCATGGTAGAAGTATTGCAACCCGTTTCTTGGAATACATCAGCTACTATTAGCACAGTCTTACACTTGCTCATTAAAAAAATGGCGAATCCTGTGACAATGGTCTTTAAGAAGGGATTTGTATGTCCCAGTTTTTTCTATTCTATTTACAATTTTTGGTAGTCTAAAATAAAATAAAATACTTCCTGGGAAGTAGGGGTGGCGCAGTGGTGAGAGCACTCGCCTCCCACCAATGTGGCCCGAGTTCGAACTCCTGGCGTCGACGCCATATGTGGGTTGAGTTTGTTGTTGGTTCTCTTCCTTGCTCCGAGAGGTTTTTCGCCGGATAATTCGGTTTTCCCCTCTTCTTAAAAACCAACACTTCCAAATTCCAATTCGATCTGGAACGCACGGACACGTTTAAACGAGTTCATACGAACTCCTAAGTGCTTCGTGGGTAAAAAAGTAATTTACATTTTTTTTTCTTGAGTTATCAATTTCTTTTGCTCTTTCGGGATTCTTGCCCCTTTTTTTCACGTGACTTCTTGCCGCACGCCTAAAGCCTCTATTTTAATTGACTTGCCCCAAGTTGCCCCCCTTTATTGTCCCTCTTAACAGGTGGTGATGAGAAGGGGGGAAGAAGAGGGGTCTCCTTCGTCTTCAAAAGGCTCTGCTAGTCTCACGCAGCCAATGAGCGACAGCGTGCAAATAATAAGAGACCATCAAGTGGGGACCAGCAAGCTATGTAAGAATTTTGTATTATATAGTAATCTTAAGGAAGGTGTTCCCAGTTTTAAAAGTCTCCCCATTATTTTCTGATTACTGAACCTTTACTTCACTGTTTAAGAGGTTTCTAAGTCCACCTGGGTTTTATGAAACAATAACCTTGATTTTCATATAAAAACAACAAACTTAATAATTCTAGCTGGTAGTTGTAGGCAAATGACGTCATCGTGCAAATGTGCCATTTGCGATTTGAAGTTTACCTATCCCTTTCCTCTCCCCCTCCAACCCTATCAGTGGACTGGAACAACCCAAAATTCACTCTGAAATGATAAAAAGCAAAAAATGATGTTTTACCTCGTTTGGTGACTTTTGCCCGATAGGCCAAAGGCCGGCACAATGCATAACAGCGATCCAGGCTGATAACTTTCATGTAAGTCAGCGACAATGCAATAGGGACCATCCTGGATATCCAAGAAACAATGGTAACTGGTTTCAAATAAGGACACCATTTTTGAGGACTTTGGACAAACAGCCACCATATAAAAAATAACGGTTGAGCCACCAACCCAATTAGGCAGTCTGATGTGGCGAGGCTGCATAGGAGAATGTTCGAAGGCCTTTGAAGGGAGGGTGTTTTGAGGGCTGCAACAATGATAGCAAGGTTGCTAAGAAACGCGAAGATACCAAACGGCAAGTTGGATCCAGCAATCGCAAGATTAATTATCGTGGTGGTGGAGTCGTTGGTTGCTAGAGGAAACACCTCTGGTACGTCGCATTTGTTGTCTCTGACTGTTGTAGCCATCAAAGATCTTACTTGCCGAAGTGTCACAGTAATCAATCAATCGTTCGTGGAACTACTCTTGCGACACACCTGTATGGTTATCTATGTATGAACGGAATGGATAATCACAATGAGTCTAAAACAACTAACTTGTATTCTTCATTTTATATTAAGGCTAAATTCAACTGCACGGAATTCATATTCAGTATCATTTATACTCAGCTTAAATGTTTTTCGCTGCTTAGAGGACACTTTAATCAAAGGTAGACACATCGGACTGTTTAGATGGTACGATCAACGAATTCCCTTAGGTTAATGAGACTATGTTCAGACTAAGAGAAGTTTCTCGCTACAAAGTTTGAAATTCATAAGATCTGATTGTCTGATTCATTTTCCGTATTTAAAAAGCGTAATACCCTGGTCATGATTACCTGAAAATACTAGTTTTTCTCACCTCAGTCACGTTTTACACGTAATTGCCCGATTAGCGTCTGGCCTTGGCATCCGTTAATTTTGTGCCTACCTCTTAATCAACCTCAATTTTTCTGTTTTACATTTGTTCGCTCGCTTCCTCAATGAGTCAAGCCTGCAACTGGTTTCAATGTAATGTCAATTTATATAATTTACATGAAAGGAAGAGAGACAAGTTAATACCTTAAATCATGCATCTTGCCGAAAACCCAAGACTTAAGGATATTGCGGCATCTTTTCATTACTCTTCTTTGGAGAGGCGCACTTTTTGGATGCACCATGATTAAAATATTTTAAAAAATGTAGGATTATCCTGTCAATAATGTTGCATTTAAAAGGCTTAAAACTAGTATATTTATTAACGCCAAGAAGCGTAACACATGCCCTCCATAAAAGGGTTTTTTCTTAGTTCGACCTTTAATTTTCATATCGGGATTTAATTTGTTTGATCGTTTTTTCAGTGAGTCTGGCTTGCAATTAGTCTCAGTACAGGAGCAATATTTCTGTATGTAAATTTTTTATTATTTGATTCTATATCAAACGGAATAACTTGATAACTTAAATCAAATTACTGAATATCCAAAGATAAGGATAAATCCTACAAGACGTAAGATGGAGATTTATTTATGGCAACAATTGTTTGGAAATAAACTAATATTTTGCTAGCTTATATGTTAGCTATTGTTTCACGGTTAAGCCATAATTTTCGTAAAACTTGCCTCACGAAAACAATATTTGATAAGATGTAGTACCTGTCCCTGCCAAATGAATCTCTCCTTCGAAGAAAAAAACTAAAATTGAAATAATTAATCGCATAAATGTGATAGATACAAAAATGAACCGTTGCGGATAGGTAATCCACCGAACAGCATGCAACATCTAAGACTAGAAATTTATACTGCAAGCTTAGTTATTTTTCTTTACGGAACTCATCAGGAGACGGCGTACTAGCACGCAGTTGTCCAAGTTGATCTGACAATTGAATATTGGAAAACTAAGTAGCGGAACATTTTTTAATGTAGTGCAGGTAAACTTCATGAATGCCCCATAGTAAACAAAATTCAGCCTTTTAACTTGCAACAGATGTCTTGATTTTAAGATATTCCCAAGTTCTTATTTTTCTCCCCCGCCCCCCTGATTTCAGCGTCAATTTAATAATGTCACATTGAAAAAAATAATGCTTTGGCATTTGCTTCAAATTAAAGCTTCCACTAGTCCTCTTTGGGACAAGGAGGCCATGTTTGTCGACAAAGCAATAACTAAATACGGTATGGGCTAAGCTGTTTTGATGAACAAGTTATGAGAAGGAATTTTACTCTTTATGACTGTCTTTAAAACCATTCGATATATTACGGCTGTTGTATGCCAAACGCGAAGACATTCTCAAAGTTGGATGGTTACCAAAGAGAAAACGAGGGGACTTTAGCTTGCTTAAATTAGTCCATAGAGCGCTGTATGTGAATAATTGGCACTTATACTTGAGAATACAAGTAACCTAGTCTGCGTACATTGCGATCTAGCTCTGCCACCAGCCTCTCGATTCCACTCGAAAAAGGTAACTACCTTTCAGGACTTTGCTTCAAAAGTTGTTCATAGCCTCACTGTGTGATCATGACTTTAACATTTATAGCAAGAAAGTTAAACCGTTTTTTTTTAATATCTAAATAAATTTTGGATCTCTATTGTATCTTCATTTATTTTTTCTATTTTTATTTTTTATCTTCATCTATTGTAATATTTTTTTTTATCCATTGTAACTATTTTGTACCGCTAGTTGAAATAAAAATAGGATTGTCCCCTAATGGTGCACTTAAATGTCTCAGATCTAGCAAAGTAATAATAGTAATAATAATAATAATTTGCTACATTTACCGTATTTGGGAAGCATAATACACTAATTTCTTCAAAATACTAGTTTTTCTCACCTTTATGGCCACGTTTTACAAATAATTACGATATTTACGTCTGGCTTCGGCATCCTCCCTGTGAATTTTCTTTCGTTAATTTTTGGCCTTCCTCTTAATCTAACCTCTTAATAGCTCGCTCCCTCAATGAGTCAAACTTGCAATTGGTTTCAATATAATGTCAATTTATGCATTTTACATCAAAGGAAGATAGACAAGTTAATATCTTAAATCATACATCTTGCTTAATAACCAAGACTTCAGGATATAAATTGCGACATATTTTAATTACTCTCCTTTGAAGAGCCGCACTTTTTAGATGCACCATGATTAAAAAAGCACCATGATTAAAAAAGGTAGGTTTATCCTGTCAATAATAGGGCCATTTATACGAGGAAAAATAAGACGCGTGCGTCTTAAATAAGACGAGAACTTTCCGTGTAAACGGCACATTTCGTTTAAAATAAGACGCGGCTTAGCTAAGACGCGTCTTATTTTAGAACAGCCCTTAACACCTGTTCTTAGATAAGGCGCGTCTTAGCTAAGACGAGAAATACTTCGTATAAATGACCTTCGCGTCTTACATAAGACGCGAACGCATAGTACGCATGCGTAAATTTTTGGAGGGCCACGTTGGATTGCCGTTGCTACGGGCAACATTCACATGAAAACGAGTCGAGAACAGAAATAAGACGCGAACCATTTATACGAGCTGTTCTTGTCTTAGATAAGACATGTTCGTATAAATGGTACAGTTCGCGTCTTATTTAAGACGCGTCTTATTTTTCCTCGTATAAATGGCCCTAATGTTGCATTAAAAAGGCTAAAGACTAGTATATTTATTAACGTCAAGAAGCGTAACACATGCCCTTAAAATGGTTTTTTCTTACCTCGACCTTTAATTTTCATATCGGGTTTTAATTTGTTTGATCGTTACTTCAGTGAGTCGGGCTTGCAATTGGTTTCAGTACAAAGGTAATATTTCTGAATGTAAAATTTTTCATTATTTGATTTTATATCAAACGGAATAACTTAATAATTTACATCAAATTGCAGAGTAACCAAAGATAAGAATAATTCCTTTCATAGGCGTACGGGCCGGGGGGGCGAGGGGGGCTGCAGCCCCCCCAAATTTTGGGCAACTCAGATCTTTTGGGCAGCTGCAGAAAATTTGGGCAAAGCCAGTTTTTAAAGACGTCTCCATGTTTTTATTATTATTTTGAAGAGATAAATATTTTCTATTTTAACCTGAAGTCGGCGTAATAATCCAGTTACATAAACACGAGACAGTGTCTTCCTAACACGTGACGAGTTTCTGGTTATAAGGGAAAGGTATCATATGCTGATTTTTTTTTTATTGTTGGGCACTGTACTGCAATGGGCTATTTCCACTCGTGAATTTATTAGAATAAACTTCCGCCTAACTTTCTAGAACCATCTCCTCTCGTAGAACAGTGTATGGCAGATGGCATCAGTAATGGGTCTTAAAGAGAAGAAGTGGCTGACTAATTCTCAGTTTTAATTGCGAGAAGAATCTTGATTTTTTTAAAAAGTCTATCGAGCGGTTTAAAAATTATTCAATAATTTGTTAAAGTAGACTGAGATGTTGACAAAACCGCTAACAAGAGCGCCATGATACATCTAATCAAATCCTTCTTTGTAGCAATTGGCCGGAGCTATCTCCATGATCTATCACCCACGTTTTTAAAAAGATTGAAACTACTATGAGGTGAAATTGCATGTCAAAAGCGCATCGTTTTCTACAGATAACGGCCAAACATCAAGATTTTCCTTTTTTTACCGTATTTCCAACGATAAAAACTTTATCCCAAAATATCTCAATAACGCTCTCACAGATTTCGTTTTAACTTCACGAACATCGAGGCGACTATTGGAGGAAAAAGCTCCTGTGATCGATTTTAGAAGAACAGTTCCCAGAGAGAAATATTGCTGCAAGTATAATAGGCAATGGCTTCATTTCATTGCTATAACAACTCCGATGTCACTGCAACCCTGATCACAACAAATTTTCATCTTTATCTAATACAACTGTGGTGGCAAATTTTCCAAATGTTTGTTTGTGGCGACGTAGTTTATGCTCAAACTTGGCAGGTATTGAACCTGAAAAACTGTATGGAACCATTTTCATAAGCCAGTACGGCCTATGTTGTTGCATCGACCCTCGTTTCTGTTCGACTGTTTTGTAAAAATTTGGGCAACTTGCAAAACTTTTTTTGGGCAAATGGTTTACCTTCCCCCCTGGCAAAAAATAGCCCGTACGCCTATGATTCCTTTAAGAATTAAGATGCAGATTTATCTGTGGCAATAATTGTTTGGAAATAAACTAATATTTTGCTAATTTATTTTTTAGTTATTGTTTCACGGTTAAGCCATATTTTTTCATAAAACTTCTCTCACGAAAACAATATTTGATAACGATGTATTACCTATCCCTGCCAAATGAATCTCTCCTACGAAGAAAATAACTAAAATTGAAATAATTTATTGCCTAATTGTAATGGACACAAAAATAAACCGTTGCGGATAGCTAATCCACCGAGCAGCATACAAGATCTAATAAGAAGACATCAAAACGGCAAACTTAGTCATTTTTCTTTACGGAAATCATCAGGAGGCAGCGTACTA